ACCAACCGCCAGTCCCCAACTCCAGAGATGTCTTAAAGGGACCTCAACTTACAGCGACACAGTCCACAGGCTAGGTGTCCCACAGGTAGTGTAGCCTTTAAATTGAGGCACAGAACAAGCAAGGCAGCCTCACACTGGTCCAATGATCAAAGAGCGAGAGACGAGAAAGACGAGGCTCACCACGCCATTTATCTCTCTGCCCTTCAGTTAATCCCACTTGTGTTTATCGGCCAGGCTGGCACAATAAACTATCTCAGTAAAGTAGAATTGGGATCATGATAGGGGAGGGGAGGCGCAGAGGGATGGGCGGGCAGGGCAGGTAGGGAGCATTTAAGAACTAGAGGAAAGTTGTATGTTTCATCGTTGCTAGGCTGAAACCTTTTATGGGCAAGCAATTGATGACGGAGAGAAGCATCTCTGCACCGCACAAGGTCTTGGACAGGTGAGGGGATGCAGTCAGTGCTCAAGGGGAGGGTCAGTCTCATTATCTCCACTCTACACCAACACAACGAAGACCAGGGTGAATGAAAAGACAATTTTTATTTGCCCACTTTCAGTGTGTGAACTCTCCATCTGTCTGTTCCTTCCCCACCACCTCTCCTCTCTTGCAGGGCAGCCCTCCTCTCAAGAGTCCTCCAAGTGTGCTCATGGGGGGAGGGTGAGGGGGTCGGGGTCTTGGGCTGGCCCTGGGCAATTATTATGGTGTCCTTTGGGGAAAGGCAGGACATGCAGCTTCTCCTCCACGGGCCCCATGAAGAGGAAGGAGATATCCACGTCTTCGCCCAGGGGGTTGGTGGTCAGGTCCAGCTGCACGGGGAAGGCCTCATGAGGACCCTGTTCTTGGGACTGTTCAGGCTTCTCCTCATCCAATTTGGGGAGGTATTGGACTGATCCTTTTGGCTCCGCCTCTGGGGGTGAGTCGGTGAGGGTGGTGTCTTTCTTCTGGAGGGCGTCCACTTTGGGGCGGTCTGTAGGCTCCGCATTAACAGCAACACTTACTTCTCCAGGGGCAGGAGTCTGAAATGAGCACATTTTTTTTTTAATGCAGAGTCCCATAGGGAAAGCCCCAGCCTACTGCTATTGAACTAAACCATTCCTTGGGGGGGCAGTTTAAAGGGAGATGAAGGCTTAAGAAGTAAAAGAGTAAAAAGAGCCAGAGGTCTTCTAGAGCAGTAGAAACTACTGAGCAGTTCTACCCATTGCAGACATGGACAAAAGTCCAGGAGCGGTAAATGAGTTATGTTAAGTTTCCCGTGATGTTCTTAATTCCAGTATTGTTTATTCTGTGTCAGGCTTTGTGAGGGACCCTTTATCTAGGTTCTCCCATAGGTTTCTCACAGGGATCTGAATGAGGAAAACATTTGAATCCCATTCTAGACACAAGGCAACTGAGATGCATGGAGATAAGTACTGGCTCTGATCACACAGAGTGCGGGTGGCAGAGCCGGACTGGAACCCACATTGCCTATCTCCATTGCCCTCTCAACTATGTCAAGCTGCCTCAATATAAGCGCTCAATACAGACTCCTGTAAAGGGATTGAATGCTTCTGTGGACACAAGTCCTTCCTAGAGTTCTGAGTTAGGATTCTTTGGGGCACTGTCATATCCAGAAGCCTATTACAGCTCAACTAGCAGGCCCTTGTGTCTGAAGGGCTCTTCCTGACTGTACAGGACTTCCCTGGGGTAAGACAAAGTGAGGTGAGTCTTTGACCAGTAACGTGTGGCCACTAATATGGAAATCATCGTTCTTGGAAAAACCAGTGGAGACAGTAGATTAAGGGCAGCTAAAATACAGACAACTCTCTTTTTTTCTCTACAAAAACATAATAATTAGATTTCATAAAAATACCTCTGGTTTAAAGAAGTCACATTCCACTGAGACAAACTTTTCAATGTGTCTTCGACTCAGAGAACCTTTACAAAGAGCAACCGGCTAAAAGAAAGTGAAAATACAATGTCAAGTAAGCATTATGATTATTGTTACTGTTACATTATCAGTGGCTGTCGAGTTGATCTCAACTCATGGCAACTCCATGTAAAATGATCATAAATAAAAATCAACGTGGCCCTCTTTTGTTGCACACAGTCAACGTTTTCCTGTGATTGACATAATAGGCAACCCCTGAAACAATTTGCTCTCCAGGAACCTCTGGGCGAACCCACACCCGTGCCACCTCAGAGAACCCACACTGGATCTGGTCCACAGTGAGCAGAGTGGACCAGGATGTTTCACAGAATCCTCTTTCCTTCTTCCCAAACTTGGAAGAGTCAGGATTCTATAAGAAAGAGCCGGAGTGAGAAAAGAAAGGAAAAAACAGACCCCCTGGTCCTTTCCTCATAGCAAGTCCTCAATTCTGGCCTTGAACTATCAGGAAAGAGACTTTACATGACATGAAATAGAATTTGGGGGATGGAATATAAGATAGAATTATATGTGAGGATTTTTGATTCAGAATTGACTGAATAGAATCTCTTTTCATACCTGCAAGTCTTATTACTGAAAACAATAGGGAAGTTTTTTGATTGGCACATGTATTAGTGTAGGTACTCTAGAGAAACCAATCCACAGCAACTCATGTATAAGAGAGTTTTATGTAAAGAAGTGTGTATCACGAAAACATCCCAACCCAATGCTGCCCAAGCCCACAAGTTCAACATTAACCCATTAACCCAACACCAGTCCAAAAGTCCTCCACCTCACAAAACAGAGACAATGATGCCGACTGCAGGAGGAAAGCTGAGTCAGTGAACGAACAAGCATCTCAGCACTAGCAGGGATCTCCACACGGCTGCTCCAGCACCCAGGGCTGCATCGGGTAGATCCATGTGGCTTCTCCTTGGGGATGGCTTGTAGGAAGTCAGTTTTGCAAGCTGAAGCAGGGAACTGCTAAGGCAGCTGCACCCTGGTGGAACCATCACAAAGCAAGAGACCCCAGAGCGTGAAATGGCAAGGCTCACCACCCATTTATCCCTCCACCTTTCAATTAGCCCCACATGTGATTATTGGCCAGGTTGGCACAATTAACTAACTCAGCACAATACATCGTTGAACTACGAGGAAGAGAGACACCAGAGTATGCTAAATGTGCTTTTCCAATTGTTCCCTGAGAAAATTCAGAATATTCAGTTAACTAGATACAAAGGGATTTTGAGAGACATATTTGAGGGTCAAACATATAAATAGGTTGAGCATAAATGAATGGAAAAAAGTTAAGTCATACAAATAGTAAGCACAAGGGAGTCTCAAGGTGTCCACAAAACATCAAGGAAACACCTGATTGTAAGACAGATAAAAAAGCACACTACCAGAAACAAAGAATGATAAAAGGGTCAATCAGGAAACTAACAAATAACACATTCCAAAAAAATCAGGAATAAAACAAAGGTGTCTGCTCTCACTACTTTCACTCCACAATATTGGACAGGAGGTTCTAAATCAGAGAAATTAGGCAAGAAAAAGAAATTAAATGTATCCAGCTTGAACATGATTAAGTAAAATACTATTTGCAAGTAGTATAATCTTATATGTAGAAATCCTAACGAGTACAATAGAAAACTAGCAGAACAGACATCTAGTTCAGAAGCAACAAAGCCCAAATGGAACAACATATCAGCCTGTGTGATCACGAGGTGTCGAACGGATCACTGAAGACAAATGGGTGCATAAGCAAATGTGGCGAAGAAAGCTGATGGTGCCCGGCTATCAAAAAGTATAGCATCTGGGGTCTTAAAGGCTTGAAGGTAATCAAGCGGCCATCAAGCACAGAAGCAACAAAGTGCACATGGAAGAAGCACACCAGCCTATGCAACCACGAGGTGTCGAAGGGATCAGGTATAAGGCATCATCAGAACAAAAAATCTTACCATAGTGAATGATGGGGGGAGTGCGGAGTGGAGACCCAGAGCCCATGAGTAGGCCACTGGAGATCCCCTTGCAGAGGGGTCTCGGGGAGGAGATGAGCCAGTCAGGGTGCGATGTAACAACGATGAGAAATACAACTTTCCTCTAGTTCTTAAATGTTTCCTCCCCGCCCACTACCATGACTAGAATTCGACCTTGCAAGGCTGGCTACACCAGAGGAGCTACACTGGTACAGATAGGAACTGAAAATACAGGGAATCCAGGGCAGATGAGCCCTACAGGACCAGTGGTGTTAGTGGCAAAACAGGGAGGGTGGAGGGAGACTGGGTAGGAAGGAGGGAACGGATTACAAGGGACTATATGTGACCTCCTCCCTGGGGGACAGACAACACAAAAGTGGGTGAGGGGAGACGTCGGACAGGGCAAGATAGGGCAAAATAACAATTTATAAACTATCGAGGGCTCATGAGGGAGGGGGGAGCGGGGAGGGAAGGGGAAAATGAGGACCTAATGTCGCGGGTTTAAGTGGAGAGAAAATGTTTTGAGAATGATGTACAAATGCGCTTTACACAATTGATGTGTGTATGGATTGTGATAAGAGTTGTATGAGCCCCTAATAAAATGTTTTTTTAAAAAAATTAGCAGAACTAATAAGCGCATTCATGAAGTTACAGGCTATCAAGTCAATATGTTTTTTAAAATATTTAATTTTTAAAATATTTTTATATTTTATAAATCTATATATTTGCAATGAACAATCTGTAAATGAAATTGAGAAGACAATTGAATACATCAAAGAGAATATCTAGAAATAAACTTACCAAATGAAATATAAAGCTTACACACTAAAAACTATAAAGTATCATTGAAAGAAGCTAAAGAAATCCTCCGTAAATAAAAAGACATTCCATTTTCATGTACTGGAAGACAATACTTTGTTAAGATGACAGTCCTTTCTAAATTTATTTTTGGTCAATGCAATTCCTATCAAAATTAGGAGTGACTTTTTTGTAGCAACCAACGGGCCTATCCTAAATTGTATGTGGAAATGCAAGGGATTCCGAATAACCAAGGCAATGTTGAACACTAACAACAAAGTAAGAGAGCTTAAACTTCCTACTTTCAAAAATTATTATAATGCTACAATTATTCAGATAATGTGGCACTTGTATAAGACTAGAAATAGAAATCAATGGAATATCATTGAGATTTCAGAACTAAACCCAGAAATTTCAGTTCAATTGATGTTCAACAAGTATGACAAAACAGCCTCATGAGGTATACACTTTTCCACAGAAGATACTGGGACAGCTGGGTGTCCACACGTCAAAGGATAAAGTTGGATCCCTACCTCACACCATATATAAAAACAAACTAAAAATTAATCACTGAGCCACATGTAAGTGCTAAAGCTATAAAACTTTCAGAAAGAATCATAGAAGTAAATTTGTGTGACCTTGAATTAAGCATTTTTTAATATATATACAATACTACAATAACACACAATATAAGACGTAGATAAACTGGACTTTATAAAAACAAAAACCTCTTTTGCTTTGAAGCAAATATAAAATTAAACCAGAGACTGGGAGAAAATATTTAGAAGTCATACATCTGATGAAGAAGATTTTGTCCAGAATATATAAAGAACTCTTAAAATTTTTAAACAAAGAGGCAAACTTTTTTTGAATGGGTAAAGGATTTGAATTTTCCAAAGAAGACATACAAATAGCCAATCAAGGAAATGCAATTCAAAACCATGATGAAAGGTCAACTTATACACCAATAGAAGAGCTCTAACAAAAATGAAAAATAATAACAAACGTTGACAAGGATGTGCAGAAATCAGAAATGTTGTACATAGAGTTTGTCTATGTCCCAGCAATTCCACCCCGAGGTATATACCCAAGAGAAATGGAAACAGAAATATACACATGTACATCCATAGCAGCTTCTTAATAATTGACAAATTGTGCAAACAACCCAAATGCCCATCTTCTGATGAATGCATAAACAAAATATTGTATATACATGCAAAAAATATTGCTCAGTAATATAGGTACAACATGGTGAACCTTGAACACATGCTGAATAAAATGTTTTCTATGCCAGATATGAACCAAAGATTATATAAATCAATTTATCGTATTTTAAATATTCAGAATAAGCAAAGCCCTGGAAACAAATTAGATCAGCAGTTTTCGGGGCCTAGGGGGAGCAGGGGAAAGCAATAACTGCTAATATGAATAGAGTTTCTTGGTAGGACAATGAAAAAGTTCTAAAATTACATAGCGGTGATGATCATCCAACTATTTCAATGTATTAAAAGCCACTGAATTTTTTACCTTAAGAGGTGAAATGTTATGGCTTTAAAATCATATCTTAATAAACCAGTTATTATAAATAGTTAAGTAAGGGGAAGAAAGGCTTGCAGCCTATCTTTGCCCAATTGAGCTTGAATGCACTGTGCCAGTTTACATTCCCACATGTCTTTGCAGATGGTTCAAGGCTCCCTCCCCATCCTTTGAATAAAGGTCTGCTTGATTTTGTTCTTCTTAAAAGGTAGTCTCTGGAATGGAACACTATAATATATTCTACACATAATGGAATTTATCCAGATCCAAGAAGGCCCATCACCATCTCCTGAGGACATTCTGGTTGTACTCATGTTTTTCACAACCTCCTATGATTCCTTTTTGCAATTGCATCACCTTGTTGACTACAATCTCTTATTTTTGTGCCTGGATCTGCCTTATTTCTAACTGCTCAGTAAGCTCTTGGACATGAAAATAAAAATAAACAAAACCCCTCAAGCTTTACAATATCTTTTACATTATTGATGCTCAGCAAATACATATAGATGGTTTGTGAACACAAATCAATTACAAAGACACTCTGAAATACTCACCAGAGAGGCAGGGATTGAAAGTACGCACACCTGAGATTTGAGACATGGTGACTCTGCAATCAAATATTCCACAAAGTAAGCAGGGCCAAACACCCACTGTTAAAACAAGAGTTGAGAAAAATCAATCAAGTCTTTCCATGAACAATTTAGAGATACTGCATCTATAGAAATCAAACATCCTTAGGGTGAGTATCAACACATGTCGTCTGTTGTCTCTACAAGTCTTCCTACTGATCAAACCATGTTTTGTGATTTGTTATCTAGAAAATATAATCACCAGATCTGTACCTTTGTTTCTTTTAAGCAAATTTGAGTGGGCCCTAAATTTTTCCCCTTGGTGAGCTCCTCCCTCGCCTCCCCAACTAGAATAGTCTGTTACATAAAATTTTCTCCATTTGATAGAGATATCAGCACAATCCCAATACTAATACACCTCAATTTCCCTGAGTCCACAGAAGTATCACTTCAGGCCTTAACAGGAAGTGGAAGTTGACTTGCTAAATGTTGCATCTCTCACTACCATTGCGTCAATGCCGACTCATAGAGACCCTCTAGGACAGGGAAGAACTGCCCCTGCAGGTTTCCGAGACTGTAACTCTTTATAGGAGTAGAAAACGCCATCTTTCCTCTGAGGGGCAGCTAGTAGTTTTGAACTGCTGAACTTGTGGATTGCAGCCCTATGCCAGCAGGGCTGAAATAGTGAACCTAAACAGAACCCCAAGGAGACAATGAGTCCATTACCATTTTTTGCCCAAAGGCCAATAAGGGCTCCATCAAGTCATGTTCCTCTTATGAAAATGGCATGGAATAAGTGAAAAACCAAAACACACAGAATGTGCTTAGAGCTATCAAAGTAAAGATATAGTGAAAACTCTTTGAGTATCAAAAAGAGAGTCTTGTTAGTCTACACTTAGCTTAAGAATCTATATAAGAGTGTGAGATACAGCTTATCTATCACTGACTTGGGCATTTTAGACTTACCTGGCTGGAAGCCCTGGTAATTTTGACAAGAGAAAACTGCTTCGATGGGCTCTCACTGTTGTATTTTCCAAGAGACTCAGAGGCAGCTTCCAGAACGTGCTGATTGGACACATCAGCCACATCAATGGAGGTGGGTTTCGGGCAATCAGGGCACATGCTGTGAATCTTTCTTCCATTAACTATTGAAATAAAGGAGACCTATTTACAAAGAATACTCCTAATGAGTTTCAACCTCATAAATCATAGTACATATATACATGCTTATATTTATACCTTTATAAATGTATTTTGCCCCCTACTTCTTTCCTCTATTTCCTTTTACTTTCCTGGTGTCCCTCTAACATGTCCGACCTTTATTCAGCTCTCTGTAGTTTCTCTTGGCTACACTGCACTTGATCAAACCCCACCAGGCATTCTACGCCCTCCTTGCCATTGATTTTAGATCTCTTGTTTTTCCCTTGTCCCTGAGTTTGTTGGCTTCCCCCTCCTGTTATCCTGCATCCTCCTCAGTCTTGTTGTTTTCTCCTTGGGATTGTTTATCTTGTCCATCTTATATAGATATAGAAGGAAAAAAAGCCTATAAATAGTTCCAGGCCTGTCTGCTGATCTTTATGAATGTTTTCTGATCAGGTATGATGAGCTGCCAAGCCCTGCCCCCTGAGTCAGAAGTCTATTTTCAGGATTCCTCAGGAATTTTGTTGGTTTGCTCCCCTTGCTGCTGTGTTGTGCAAGCTTTTGGTTTCGCGTGTGTGTGTGTGTGTGTGTGTGTGTGTGTGTGTGTGTGCCAGAGCAGGCAGCAAAGAACTTCTTAAGAAGAACAAACAAGGAGGCCTCTTATGGTCCAACCTCAAACCCTATTACACAACCACAGTAGTCAAAATAGCTTGATACTGGTACAATGATAAGGACATACACAAATGGAATAGAATAATAAATCTAGAAACAAACACATCTACCTACAGGCAACCAATCTTTGTCAAAGGAACAAAACAAAAACACCTAATAGAAAAGAGATAGTTTTTTCAACAAATAGTGGCTGGCAAAATTGAATCACCATCTGCAGAAGAATGAAATAGGACTCATACCTCACACAGGCACAAAAATAAAACCAAGGTGGATTAGACACCTAAATGTAAATTCCAGAGTAATGAAGATCACGTACGAGGAAATATGAAAAAAAACCTTAAGTGCCTCCTTGCAGGGCATAAACCTACGATCAAACACAATGAAGGAAGCACACACGGTACAAGACATCAAGACTTCATCAAAAAGTATCATGAAAACCCAGAGACTGGGAAACACTCTTTTGCAATGACACAGACAAGGAACGAATCTCTAAAATCTATAGAAAACTACAATACCTCCTTTTAAAAAATTAATAAATCAATTTATTGGGGGCTCTTATAGCTCTTATCACAATCCATACATTAATTGTGTCAAACACATTTGTACATATGTTACCATTATCATTTTCAAAATTTTCTTTCTACTTGAGCCCTTCTTTTGTCCCCTCCACCCCCCACCCTCTCACCCTCATGGACCCCTGATAAATGATAAATTATTATTATTTTCATATCTTACATCATCCAGTTTCCCCTTAGCACATGTTTCTGCTGTTCATCACCCTAGTCAGGGGGGTGAGGGTGTTATATATTGATCATTGTAATCGGTTCCTCATTTCTCCCCCTTCTCTACTTTCCCCCTACGCTCATGGTATCACTACTCCCATTACTGTTCCTGAGGGCTTTATCTGTCCTGGATTCTGTGTGTTGAGAGCTCTTATCTGTGCCGTTGTACATGTTCCAGTCTAGCCGGACTTGTAAGGTAGAACTGGGGTCATGATACTGGGGTGGTGGGGGAGGAAACATTAAAGAACTAGAGGAATGTTGTGTGTTCTGTTGGTGCTATGGTGCACCCTGGCTGACTTGTTCCTTCCTTGTGACCCTTCTGTGAGGGGATGTCCAATTGTCTACAGATGGGCTTTGGGTCTCCTCTCCAACCCCCATCGTTTGCATCAATATATTTGTCAACTGCAATGCCTCATTAAGGAAAACATGAATAATCTACTTAAAAAGTGGGCAAAGTACTTGAAGACAGTTCACCAGAAACCACATGCAATGGCTAACAAACACATGGAAAAATGCCCATTAGCCACCAGGAGATGCCAATCAAAACATCCATGATGCATCACCCTACACCAACAAAGACAATCCAATGCTAAAGAAAACAACAATGCTGTAGAGGATACAGAGATATTGAAAGGCTCATACACTGCTGGTGGGTCCATAAATATGTGCAACCATTGTAGAAAGTGATCTGATGCTACCTCAAAACATTGGGAATAGAAAGTCCATAAGAGCCAGCAATACTTCTGCTCGGGAGATATCCTAAAGCAGTAAGAGACAGGACAGAAGCAAACATATGCACTCTCCTGTTCCGGGTAGCACAGGTCACTAGAGCAAGAAATTGGGAAATGTCTAAATGCTCACCAGTAGAAGACTGCATAAGGAAACTTTGGTACATGCACACAATGGAATACTGTGTGTCCTAAAAGTCCAGTGATGGAACTATGAAACCCCTCATGACATGAATGGTCTTCACTCACTCATAACACCTCTATGCTCCTAAACAATCACAGGAAAATAAATAGTGGAGGAGACCACAACTAGAAGGATAAACACTAAGACAAAGAAAACAGTTCTCTGTGGAAGAGGACACAGGTGAGCAGATGAAGCAATGGATTGGATGGGTGACAGGTATTGATCTGGATAACAAGAGGATAGAGATCCATGACAGGGAGAAGAGAAGTCAGGGCAGTGGGGGTGAGAGAGATTATGGGGGGTGGGGGTGGTGATGGTTGATGAGTGGTTTGAACTGTTGCATACAGAGCTGATAGTCTGAAATGAAAGATTTCTCCCAAGTCGTTTCCCCCAAATATGTTAGACTTAGGACATTACTTGCAGCTAATGATAAATGATTGTCAAACTACCTCCCTGAAGGCAGTCAGTTGCCAGACTACAGGTAGGCCCCGCTCCCTGCTGCTAAGGACAATGTGCTACTTCTCTCTAAAGGCTTGAGACCATTAGCTTGGTTCCTGTAGGTGGGGTTTACCCCCTACTGATAATGGTTTCTATGGAGATCCAGAGAACAGGTCAAACTGTCTCAGTGACATCCAAAGCTAGGCTGCCATCCTGAATCTAGGATCCACCCATCTTGTCACATGTATACCCCCAATCTCTCCTCTTCCTATTGCACGTATATCCCTAGATTGTCCCCCTCTCATTGCTGTAGTACCTATAGTGCAACCCCTTCCTGTGACATATGTCTTTACCTGTAATTAATGGGTTTGCACTCCAGCTCAAAGGCCTGGGTTAGCAATAGAGAGCTCTCTCTTGCCTCCTCCCTTGGACTCTCATTGGTTCCCCTTCTCCTCTCTGGTCCTCACTCCCCTGTTCCCTTTCCCCTTGTCCTCCTTCCCTCCCCCTATCTCCACATGGACCATCAAGCAGGGCTGAGGTGAGCATTGCTAGTATGAAATGTGTCTGACTCCATTATTTCAATCTCTCATGCACTCTATGACTTTACTATAATCTTTATATATATATATATTAACCGTACAATTGCACCTACCGGACCTGTGATGATGTGTTAGGGGCAGGATTTCCACTGACATTCATTCAAAATTTAAAATTCAAATTTTGAAAAAAGGGAAATCATATTAAAAAATTAAAACAAAATAGTAATGATTGTACAAAACTTCTTGATATGATTGAATGTTATTGAATTGTATGATATTTGGATTATGTCTCAATAAAACTGTTTATACAAACAATGAAATAGAAAATTAAAAAAAAATGTAGGAATTTAATTTAACAACATAACATATAGTATATTGATATGGCCATTTTTTTCTCCAATGAAGTCGAGATCGTTGATCATCATTGGGTCTGTAAAGCAGGCTGAGTTCCTTTCAAGGTTAGACTTTCGTGATTGTCATAGCTTATTCATCTGTTAGTCCCTAACATCTCCTGTAGCATCTAACTCGTAAGTTAGTGTTCCAAAGACAGATGTCCTCTGGAAAGGTTTGTTCAGAAGAAAGGCAGGCATAACCAAAAAGCAAAGATTGGCAGTGTGATGGATGTTCAGAAAACAGTGAAGCACCAAGTGCGTGGTGTGGACTCAGGTGAAGACAGGGAAGTAAAAAGAGATCGAGCTAGAGAGGAGTTTGGGGACCAATTGTAGACATTGTGCCATTTATGGTTAACTAAAAGTTTTGGATTTTATGAGGAAATTTTGAAGGTTCTTTGAGAAGATCAATTGTGAGCAGTAGAGTAATATAGGATGCATTTCAGATGGGAGGCCAGTATTGGAAATATTAAAAACTTGATGTGGGAATAAAGAGGAAACTAAGGTTGAAAGGAAACCTATATTATATTCTTGTCATAGTCCTGCTTAATGCTCTTTCTCTATCATTTATTAAAGTGAACCAAATCAAAGTGATCTCTTACCTGGGCGAATTGTACAGTTATAGGCCAATAAATGGAGAACCCTTCTTGGCCGATTAACATAAAACATGGCTTTGCATTGACCATACTCCTGGAATCAAACAAATACCATTTATGAAAACATGTTTTTAAAAAAATAGCCAAAGTTATTTTTTAGAAAGTAAGATGAAACTTAAGGTGCTGTGTGGTTGTTTTGGTTGGAAGAGAACTGGCAGCTAAGCATCACGTTGCTTTGACCTGTTCCTGCTGGGAAGCAGCTATATGCCTCCGGGTTCCCTCATAGTTCGGGGTGAGTTTGTAGATGCATCCCTGTTAGGTATGGCCCATGCAGGTGTCCCTGGTGTCCCCTACCGGCCCTGCTCCTTATCTTTCACAGATAAACAGGGCCTCAGGGAGGCCATGGTGGAGGATGGCGAAGCCTACAGTCACAGTGTGCCAGGAAGCTGGAGCTTTAAACCTCCTTGCTCAAGGGAAACGCCCCTCTTTGATCAGGAACTCCTAACTCAAACTACAGAGGAGTGAAAACTGAACTTCTATCACGATCGACTTCTTAGGCAACTTTCAGTTTGTTAAAGTTGTTAGCATGACCAAGGGAAACATCATTCACAAGGAGGGAAATCACAGTTTTTCTTTTTTTGGTTGGTTGTTTGTTTGCCATTTCTCTTAGATTGGCTTTTATTGTTTCCCCACAGATAAAAATGTGCCTTGTTTTATTTGAATGTCATCAAATTTGCCATGTTTTTAAAATCTTACGGCTTATGGATTTTGAATCACAGTTTAAAATTTTACCCATTCCATGTTTATCATGGAAGCCAATCTTAATCATTGTTGCTGTTTTAACTTGGAGATTTGTTTTTGTTTCCAAAATCAGAAATGTATTGTTTGATAAATTTGGTTAAATGACCAGAAAAAGATATCTCAGTCAGAGTTTACTTACACACATTTACATCAGTGTTTGGAACTTGTCTTTCAAAGCTTCATATCAATAAATGGAAATAAACCCAGAATAAGTGAATAGCAAAAGAACCCTGATATTGTTTTCAAACTTCTTCTATAATCCTCATAAAATAATCAGTTTCAAAGTACGTTGGAGTCTGTGATTTCAGGAGCCCTGTCCTATGACCTTGGCCTCATGTCACTCAAACACAATAAAAAACCCCAAAGCTCTTCCTCCCTCGCTTCTATCCAAACTAGACTCATCCTCGACATTGACTCAATTCTGATTCACAGTGACCTGAGAAGAGAGAGTCAACCTGCCCTGTGGGCTTCTGAGGCTGTAAATCCATCTAGGAGTGGACAGTCCATCTTTCTCCTGCAGAGCAACTGGTCAGCTTAAGCCACCAATCGTGTGGTTGGCAGCCCAGCGCATAAACCCAACTAAATCATTAAGCTTTTGTCTACCTTAGGAGCACACGCTTTTTTTGTGTTCTAACCACTGGTTTGAAGCCTGCAGAAAGGTCCTGGAAGTAGAGGAGTGCAACTCACTGAGCAATTTTGGGGTAACTTTTTAATTCTAGCCTCCGTAACCCCTGAGCATTCTGGAACCCTCTCTGCTTTAACATGCTTTCCTGCTTGTGGCGTTAGCAGAAGTGCATAGGCACGCTGATAAGGGGATTATGAAGAGGGTTCCCGACACGAAGACAGACATTCCCATCCTGTGGGAAGAGGGCAGTCTACCTTCTCTCCCGAGAACCACTGAGAACGAGCACTTACCCTGTCATGCAGGTGCCTCACGTTACAGTCCTTCCATGACTTCTTGCTGAGTACGTGGCAGTAAGTATCCACAACATCCAGAGTGAGATAATACAGGGATCCCGGTCTCTCCTGTGGGACAGAGTGAAGAGATGCACCACAATTGATAGGAAGCAGAAACCCCTACGGACCTGCTGGATGGCAGAGCCAAGGGATACGATGCTTTGATGAATCTGTCAGCACTGTTGAATCCTGAGCGAGTGTTGGCTGGAAGAGGATCCTTGGTAGCCCTTCTTCCTAATGACAACAGGAGCATTGTGACAAGTGGGGCAGGGGACAGAAAGGCCTTCTCCACTGGGCTAGCTTTCTGGAAAACACCTCCCAGCCTGCGTCTCAAGTCCCACCCCAGGAGATCTCCATACACACATTCCAGAGGGACCCTCACCGCCTCTCTGTATTCCTGGACGTTGCTGACTCGGTTCAGGCTGAGCACGTAGCCATCCTTCCGGTCCTTGTTGATGCCTTGTAGGGCAAAGTCTGCCATGGCCAGCACGTCGGAGTCATTGCAGCCCCGTAAGAGAAGCGGGGGCTTCAGTGGCATCAGAGGTGGGGACCTCGCCCCACAGCAAGCGGCCAGGGCGCAGAGCGCCAGGGGCAGGAACGGACCCATCCTGTGGAGAACAAGGTCCTGGATGGTCAGAAGGCAGAGTGGCAGCACTGCACTGGGCTGTAGAGCTTTTATGGCAGATTTGGGCAGTTTTGTAATCATAAGCTGAACTGTTGCCCAGGATTTGAAACATAATGTCCCATTTTATCACCTTGAATTCTAAAGGTGGATGCCCGTGAGTCAACACTTCGATAGAATTTGCCAATGTTTGTAACCTTAGACCACTGAGCAAGCTCATATTCAGGTGTGTAAACAAACTGCAGTTTGCTAACCACTTCCCAAGAAACCCTGAGAAGCATGTGGTGCAGGCGGCTCCTAGAAGGGTTATGTTGGATTCCACTTTGCATCTAGCCTTTCCCTGAGTGAGTCTCTGCAGGGCTGTTGCCGTCTCCTTCTCTCTCCTAGCCCTTCCCTCCAGCCCCTCTCCGCCCCCACACTGATCCTGTCTCAGGGTGGGAGCGTGAGGTCACATGTCCCAGTGAAGCTTAATAAGTTCAGCATTCCTGGCTGATCACCACTTCTCATTAGGTCAGGAAAGCACCCCCAAACACGAGGTTGCCTGTAAGAGGCACAAGAGGTCTGCCTAAAACACACAGAGCAATTGACAAGGAAATGTTCTTTTTTTTTTTTTATTAATCATTTTATTAGGGGCTCATACAACTCTTATCACAATCCATACACACGTCAATTGTGTAAAGCACACCTGTACATTCATTGCCCTCATCACTCTCAAAAGGGAAATGTTCTATTTAGCCTCCTTTGAGTGGCTGAAGGTGCACTGGTGATACAGCAGCTTATGATTTGGGCTGATAACCATAAGGTCAGCAGTTCAAAACCACCCGTCACTGCAGAAGAAAGAAGAGGCTTCCTACTCCCATAAAGATGGATAGCCTGGGAAACCCACAGGGACAGTTCTACTGTGTCCTACAGGGACGCCAGGAGCAGAATCAACTTGATGGCAGCAAGTTTGTTTTTACAGAGGTGGCTTAAGGAGCCCAGGTGGTGCTATGGGTACTGCATTGCCAATCACTAGGCTGGCAGTTGAAACTCACCAGCTGTTCCTGGGGAGAAAGAGGAGGCTATTTGCTCACGACACGATTTACAGACCAGTAAACCATACGCACGGTTGCTCACCCCCAGAATTGACTTGATGCTAGGGGGCAGATCGATGTCCTAGAGCAGTGGTTCTCAACCTCCCGAATGCCGCAACCCTCTCATACAGTTACTCATGTGGTGGTGACCCCCACAATCATAAACTTATTTTCGTGGTTACTTCCTAACTGTCATTTTGCTACTGTTATGAATCATCATGTAAATATCCGATATGCAGGATGTATTTTCAGTGTTACAAATTGAACATCATGAAAGCATAGTGCTTCATCACAAAAACAATATGTAATTACATATTGTGAAATATTTATTTCTAATGACAAATAAATGAAATTTTGTCTTGAACATGATGTAGCATGGGTAGCAGTCTAAATGTAACAACAGTAAACTGCATTGCTACATTTTGCGACAGTACATGTAAAAAGCCAGTCAGTGCAAAGGTTGAGATAGCTTCTTTCTCACCAGATCAGCATATCTGCATGTGGGCCGACAGCCTGGAGACAGAGTGGGGTCTTGGTTCTTAAGACCATCGGCAATAATGTGTTTTCCGATAGTCTAAGGCGACCCCTATGAAAGGCCCGTTCGACCCCCAAAGGGGCCGCGACCCACAGGTTGAGAACCGCTGTCTGAATCAAGTCCGTGGCACAAGACCAGCACAGTAGGCCATTTCAATAGCTCCTGAAGTGGCACAAACATTTTGCACTCGTGCCAGTTGTGATTCCAACCCACCCAGCAGCTTCTCGGAAAAAAACGGCCTAGTGATCTGCTTCCGTGGAGATGAGGGTTGGGGGTGGTTGCCATCGGGTTGACTGGGACCCAGGAGGGGCTAGAGTCGCACGGTTTCCTGGCTCTCCTCTGAAGGGAAGTGGCTCACGAGGCCTTGGTTCTGAGCTCGCACTAGGCGTGGCAGACCATCACCATTGAGGCTAACTGTCGAGTGCTGGCTCCTTGTGGCTCGGAGATTACAGTCCAGAATGTTCTGGGGCAGCCCTGCTCATAACACATGGATTCACCATGAGTCAGAATCCACTCAACGACAACGAGTTGGGGTTGGTATCTTACCACCGCCCCCCTTAGGTTATTTAAAAACTCAGTTGCTTTCGATTTTTTTTGTTGCTATATTAAACATCTAGCATCCACATCTATACTTTCTTCCCTGGAGCTGTATGGAAGCAAATATGGTAGGAGACTAAAGCCTAAAACTCTGCTCTGTGAAGAAAATAGTAACAATCGCACTGTGGACTGAACGCCAGAGAAATACTGGTGGGACTCTTTTTCAGCTTTTCAGAGTTCTGGAAAGTTCTACTAGTTGTGACTGAAACAAAGACAAACACCTTAAAAAATCAAACAAACAAAAATCCCTGCCTGTTAAAAAGAACAATACACCCTGGAGTGTGCATACGGACTCCACCATGACATGCCAAACCAGGAGGGCAACGTAACACGTGGAGGAATCCATGAAAAGACTGGACTACCGGGCCGGCCGGCCCCAACCAAAACCAGCCTGACCCCCACCCTGGAAGTTTGTGCCACAGAGAACAACACTAGACCTTCTGGTGGAGGAAAGGAACTGACCTGCCATACCCAGAAGGAAGCAGGAGCAAATGAAGGGGCAGGAAGAGAGTGGAGCACATCCTGGCCCACTAAACTTTGAGGACGATATCCCTGCTCAGAGCAGCCAATGCACAGAGAGGACCATATGACCGGCCCCACGATGACACAGGACATCCCACACTGACCCATAGTCCTACAGGGGACAACACTGGAGACACAGTATGGGATTGTGCCTGATCTGACTGCACCACACCGAGGCAAAACAGAATAGCAAGGGGAGCAGAGCAGGGAAGTGCCCGGGGAATACCAAAAATAGACTTTGGGTCCAAGGTGTGGCACCCCATCAGACTCGACTGGAAAACTCTAGCTAGATAAGGTAGGCTGGATAAACAATCTGGAGGAGGAAACAATGGGACCGATGGCTCCAGGGGGACATGGGAGCGAGGGGGAGGTGGGGGAAAGGAAGTGGTGTTAAC